GCCCAAAGTGCCACACCAGAACTCCTCAGTACTAATATAAAATACACACATAGACCAATGGGATAGAATTGAGAGTACAGAAATAAACCCACACATCTGATTTTTGTCAACTGATTTTTTACAAGGGTGCTAAGTCCATTTAATAGGAAAAAGAGTCTCTTAAATAAATGGTGCTAGGAAAATTGGGTTTCCACATGACAAGAATGAAATAGCACTTCCATTCCTAGGTATATAAACTAAAAGAATTGAAAGAATAGACTCAAGCAGAAACTTGTACACCAGAGTTCACAATAGCCCAAAGCTAGAAACAATCCAAATTACCATCAGTAGATATATGGATAAATGAAATATAATACATACATTCAATGGAATACTACTCAGCCTGCTGGAGAAATGAAGTCTAGATACATGCTACAATATGGATGGAGCTGGAAGACATTATACTGAATGAAATAAGTCAATGACAAAAGGACAACTGTTGTATGATTTCACTTATAAAAAAAGGCAAGAAAAGACAAATTATAGAGACCAAAGTTTATCAGTGGCTATCAGGGGCAGGAGAGAGGGGGAATGGAGGTTAGCAGCGATGGATAATATCATGTAGATTAAGAGTAGAGTTGCAGTCCTGGTTTGTTGCTGCAGAATAATGTGAAGGACTGTAAGGTGGGTTTGAACCACATGGTCGCCAGTTCAAGCTCACCAGCTGATCCTCAGAAGCCCTATATGGGGTCACTATGAGTCGTAATTAACTCAATGACACGTAACAACAACAACAACAAGAGTAGTGTTGCATAGCTGGTTATTGAATTGGAAGAAATTGTGTCATAGGTATACTTACAAAACAAAAAAAAAAAAAAAAAATAGGAAGATTAGAAAGAGTAGCTTCTGAGGCTGATTATGTAGAACCAAGAACCTCATGGGATTTGGTCCCTTGTTTTTGAGGTTTAGAGTTGGATTCATGGGACATCTGGTTAACTGACCTAATAACATGTTTAGTGCCTCTATTGTATGCATAATGTCTACAGTCTTAAGAGCTTACAGTCAGCCAGCCAAAGCATAATGATTGGTCTCTATTTGCTATGAATAACAGAGGAAGGAGACTTAAAAATAGGAGGAGGATATGGAATGTGTGACTGCATGCCTACTTTGTCATGAGACTGGAAGAACTATCTAATGCCTGTTTACTATTGCTAAACATTTTGATGAAAGTTTCCATCGAGAAATCCTGGTCAAAAGGGGGGAAATGTAGAACAGAATTTTAAATTTTCTTTGACTCCAGACTTCCTACAGCCATAAAGATTGCATCAACCCCTGAAATTATCACCCCGAGATAATCTTTAAAACTTAAACCCAAAAATGTCCTCCAAAGTCTTCTTAAAACTGAACAATAGTTTAGCTTAACTAGTAAAAAATATTTGCTTTGAGTTTTACGCTCTTTTAAAAACTATCTATATGGGATCAAACCAACAACAGTAACTTGAAAGATGAAATAATACTCTTAGAGGGGCTGTGAATTTATGTTAATGGGAAAGGAACAACTCAACAAAGGAAGCTGAGAATGATTGCACAACTCAAAGAATGTACATACAGAAGTTTTTAAACTGATATACGTTTGACTGAGTATATTCTCAAAAACAAAAGAAAAATAAACAAAATCATATTTTTTAAAAAATTAGATGAAAATACCACAGAGCAATTTCATTTCCTATTATAGATGCAAAAATCTTAAACATAAGCAATTGGGATCCAGCTGCTTGTTAAATAGTTATACATTATCATCAAGTAGTATTAGTTCGGGGAAGCTAAGATAACTTCATATAGCTTCAAAGTTATACAAAGAAGATGCGGGGAGAGCTTCTTAAACAAAGCTGGAAATTAAGGAACTAGGTTGGCTGCCTAAATTTAAGAGTTTCCATGGAGAAATGCATTCTGTTTGAAATCAAAAGACAAACTATTTTCCCCCACATATGACAGAGAAGAAACCCCTACAAACTAATTTTTAAAAGGTGATATGTTTTTGTTTATTTTTTAATTTGGAAAAATGAATAAAAGTTGTGGATGGTTTGGATACTTTTTTAAAAGCAAGTAAAGCTGAGTACCAGAGAAGGGATTCTGACTCTTTTAGCCCTTACCAATCACAACTGAAATCACCACAGCCATTCTGGAAAGTAATATGGGAACATGTTAAAATTAAAACTATGTATGCCCTTTGATCTAGAAGCCCCATTTTGGGGACTCTGTCCAGTCTGTAAGTATGTACACTGATACAATAGGGGTTCAGTGATGAATGGGAGAGGGGGTCATGTGATAACATGGCTCTTTTATTTAAAGAAGAGGAGGTAGCCATACATGTGCCGTGATGTCTGCATGTGTGTAAACAAGCCGGGAAGGAGATGTGGCAGTCTCTACAGTTAAACTTATAGGGACTGCCAGCAACCCTAGCCATCCTCTTTGAGGGTGGCCTAAGACACACTGTAAGCTGTGAGCAGGATATTGAGTAAAGAGTGGGGAGCTGTGGATAAAGAAAAGGCAGTTCTCCCCTCCCCCCCGGACCTTATAATCCCTGTTTGCAAAATAGGGAAGGCTTTTCTATCCCATGTCTATAATTGTTGTTGTTTTAATGTGCCATTGAGTCATTTCTGAGTCGTAGCAGCCCCATGTGCAGCATAACAAACCACTGCCCAGTCCTGCACCAATCTCACAATCATTGCTTTATTTGAGCCCATTGTTGCTGTACCAATCCATTTTGTTGAGGGACTTCCTTTTTTTCATTGACCCTCTACTTTCCCAAGCACGATATTCTTCTCTAGGGACTAGTCCCTCCTTATTACATCAACCAAGTTCCAAGACATATTTGTTTTTCTGGCAGTATTCTTTGCCAACACCATAATTGGTAAGTGTTGTCAAGTCGGTTCTGACTCAGAGTGACCCTGTATAGGGTTTCTGAGGCTATAAATCTTTACAGAAACAGAAAGCCTCATATTTCTCCCTTAGAGCAGCTTGTGGACTTGAACTGCCAACCTCGTGGTTAGCAGTCCAGTGCTTATCATACAGAACCACAGCACTTCCCCACACCGTAATATTAAGGCATCGATTCTTCAGTCTTTCTTATTCATTGTTCAGCTTTTGCATGCATATGAGACAATTGAAAATACTATGGTTGGGGTCAGACACACATTAGTTTTCAATGTGACATCTTTACTTTTAATGCTTTAAAGAGGTCATTTGCAGCAGATTTGCCTAATGCAACACATCATTTGATATTTTTTTTACATCATTTGCTCATGTGGGCCTTAAGTGGATCCAAGCAAAATTAAATCCTTGACAACTTCAATCTTTTCTCCATTTATCATGCTATTATTTATTGGTCTAGTTGTGAGGATTTGTTTTCTTCATATTGAAGTGTAATCCATACTGGAAACTGTAGTCTTTGATCTTCATCATTCAGCGCTTCAAGGTCTCTTTGCTTTCAACAAGTAAGGTTGTATCATCTGTATATTACAAGGTGTTAATAAGTCTTCCTCCAATCCTGATGCTTTGTTCTTCTTCATATAATCCAGTTTCTCAGGTAATTTGCTCAGTATACAGAATAAGTTCGATCAAAGAATACAACCCTGGTCCACACCTTTCCTGATTTTAAACCATCCAGTATCCATTGTTCTTTTCAAACAACTGATTCTTCATCTATTTACTGGTTCCACATAAGCACAATTAAGTGTTCTGGAATTCCATTCTCCACAATGTTATCCACAAATGTTTATAATCCATGTAGTTGAATGCCTTTACATAGTCAGTAAAACACAGTTAAACATTGTTTTGGTATGCTCTGCTTTCACCCAAGATTAATCCAACATTAGAAATGTTATCCTTCCTTTCAGTTTAATTTCTGACAGCCCCCTGTCAAGGTGCTGTTGCAACCACTTTTTAATGATTTTCAGCAAATCTTTACTTTTGTATAATATTAATGCTATTGTTAAATAATTTCCATGTTCTATTGCATCAGCTTTCTTTAGAATGGGCACAAACATGGATCTTTTCTAGTTGATTGGCCAAATTGCTTAGCAAAGACAAGTGAGCAATGGGTCACTTGTATAAAGATATGGATAACATATGATTGGTGTTAGCTGCCATCCAGTGACTCATGGAAACCCCATGCACAATGTGTCCTGTTGTGTATGTTTATTGAAACATCTCACTTGACATTCATCAATTCCTGGAACCTTGTTTTTTACCAAAACTTGCAGTACATTTTGGACTTCTTTCAATGCCACTGGTTCTTGACTATATGCTATCTCATGAAATAGTTGAGCATTGACCATTGCTTTTTGGTAAAGTGAATTGTGTATTCCTTCTATCTTCTGCTTCATTCAATGGTGTCCTGGTGTGGTGCCATAGGGTAAGCACTGGACCGCAATGTCGGTTTGAACAGCAAGGTCAGCAGTTCAAACTCAGCAGCTACTCCTCAGAAACAGGATCACTATGATTTAGATCCAATTAACAAAAACAACAATAATAACAGTATTCAATGTTTTATTCATAGAACTCTTCAATATTGAGTGCAGCTCAAGATTAGAATTTTCTCTTCAGTTCTTTCAGCTTGAGAAATGCAGAGGGCATTCTTCCTTTGTGGTTTTTTTTAACTCCAGATCTTTGTACATTCCATTATAATACTTTATTTTGTTTTCTTGAGCCACCCTTCAAAATCTTCTATTCATCATTGATTCCATTTGTTTTAGCTACTCAATATTCAAGATCAAGTTTCAGAGTCTCTTTTGTTGTTTCTTCCTTTCCTGTCTTTTTAGTGGTCTTTTGTTTTCTTCATACATATCTATTTTCTTCATCTCTGTAATTATAACCCAAGATGCATGTTGCACATCAGACTCAGTGGGGAGGCCTAGACAGTATCTTGGAATGGCTGGGATAATGAGCTGGTGGGTGGGGTTGGTGGGAGAGTACCTGGATCGCATCTTCCCCAAGTCTGACTGTGTCTCTCTTCGTAGGTGGCAGGGGTACGAAGGTTTTGTAGCTGTGCACAGCCTCCCAACATTTGGCTGCAGAGACTGGGAGGCCTTCAACACCACAACTGGCTCCTACCTCATGTATTCCAGTGCCAAGGAGCCCCTGTCTAGGGTCCTGAAGCTGAGGACATGGTGAAAATTATGGACTTGCCCGAGAAGGGGGCATGGGGCAGGACCCCATCTCGTGCATCAATACCTCTCTGCCCAGATCCCTCCTAAGAAGCCCATGAACCTCTGGGCAGGGGTTCTGGATAACCTTCTTGCCTAACCTGGGTGGATGGACCAAGGAAGACATTCTTCATGGGCTAGGTGTTCAGGCAGATCCCACCCCCAGCTGGTCTGGCTTTCAACAACCCCTGTCCAGTTGGGCTGCCCACCTCATTAGTCCTGGTTGGGCTTACCTCTACCCCAAGAATTCCCAGGTGCAGAGGCGCAAGTCGCAGTGATGCCATAACCAGACCCTGGTTAACTTGGTGGTGGTTTGGGCTGAAAACAAGTGCCCCTCCTGCAGCCATCATGCCTTAAAGGAGACGCTTATATAAAAATGTACCTCACAACACGGTCACGCAGATGACTCTGCACTGCCAACCCCCAACACACACACACACATCCAGATTCTGCCACAGGTCTTGTTGCTCTGTTTTTGCATATTTAGTACCAACTATTTATTGTGTCTTATCTATGTTGAAATGTATTTATAATTCTGTTTACAAAATCTCACCTGTATCTTTGTGTTCCTTTGGGGGACTCATACTGATGCATGACAGGGGCTTCAAACATGCTTACTGATGAGAGGAACTCACATTATCTCACAACAGCGGCAGTTAAGGGGTGTGAAGAGCAAATTTAATCCCATTTCTAAAACCCATGCAGTCTATTCTACGTCTCTGACAACATATGTAACAATCAATTGCAATCTATAATCAATTCCATCCAGTCCCAATTCAATTACCCATTGCAGCACTCTGACCTTAACCACCTAGAGCTAGGTCAGAGCATACACATTAGAGGACTTGTCCTCCAGACTGCCAAGTAGGTCTAAGAACTCAGACACCAGCCACAAACTCAGGAATTCCCATAATACTCTCACTTTTAATTTGTGGGCCACAAATTTGGTGGTTCCTTTCTATCCCCTCAGGATACCACTTGCAAGCTCAGGGGTTCCCAGTTCCCTCACTAATGATCTGATGGCTCCCACTACTTCTTCTTTTTTTGAAAAACTTTTAAAGAAGTGTTATTGTGAATTGAGTTAAAGTTTACATGGCAGATTATCAGTTTTA